GTTTCCACGGGAAAAATTGCTTAACAAATAATACAGGCTTAATCTATTAAGACAGCTATCCCTTTGAGAGACAGAGATAAAAGTTAACGCATTCCTCCCTACGCTCCGTACTTCCGATCTTTTCTTAACATCATGCCTATTAACAAACTTGCCAGAGTGTGTCTCATTGGCCAGGACTTGGCTCAGTGAATCAACCACTGATAAGTCAAGCATATTGGAGCTCACGTTCTAATGAATAGGAGTTGGTGGGTGATCTTTTCTAGATAAGTATTCTTTCTGCTGAATTTGCCTTACTTCAGTAACCATTACTCTCTTTTCTTCCTGTCTTATTTTAGGTCCCTCTGAAAAGTTTTGTTTTAAAAATCTGGTTTTTTTTTTAAACCTGCATTTAAAAAAATGTATTCTCACATGTATATGTATAGCTGAGTCCCTTCACTGCTGACTTGAAACAATCATAGCTTTGTTTATTAATTGACTATAACCTAATACAAAATAAAAAGTTAAAAAATAAAATAAAACAAACAAAAATGTATAATCAGGTGTGTATATATGTATATGTATATAAATTTATTACTATGAATGGAATCTTACATGGCATCATATTTTCTAACTGATGATCTTTTTTCTAGCATGTGGAAAAGCAAAACAATACATTAGCTGTGCTTAATAAAGTTATCAATATATTAGTTCTATAGAAAAGATGTGACATTTATGGAAGATTAAAATGGTGCTATTGAGGTGACAAACATTCAGAAAACTAAGATCACGGCATCTGGTCCCATCACTTCATGGCGAATAGACGGGGAAACAATGGACACAGTGAGAGACTTTATCTTCTTGGGCTCCAAAATCACTGCACATGGTGACTGCAGCCATGAAATTAAAAGATGCTTGCTCCTTGGAAGAAAAGCCATGACCAACCTAGACAGCATATTAAAAAGCAGAGACGTTACTTTGCCAACAAAGGTCCATCTAGTTCAAGTTATGTTTTTCCCAGTAGCCATGTATGAACATGAGAGCTGGACCCTTGAAGGCTGAGCACCAAAAAACTGATGCTTTTGAACTGTGGTGCTAGAGAAGACTCTCGAGTGTTCCTTGACAGAAAGGAGATCAGACTAGTCCATCTTAAAGGAAATCAACTCTGAATATCCATCGGAAGGACTGATGTTGAAGCTCCAGGACTTTGGCCACCTGATGCAAGAGCCAATTCACTGGAAAAGACCCTGATGCTGGGAAAGATTAAAGACAAAAGGAGGAGGGGGCAACAGAGGATGAGATGGTTGGATAGTATCATTGACTCAGTGGATGTATGTGAATTTGAGTAAAGTCCAGGAAATAGCAGGGGACAAAGGAGCCTGGCGTGCTACAGTCTATGGGGTCTCCAAGAGCCGGACACAACTTAGCAACCGAACAACAACAAATACAGTATGTTAAGCTAATCTCATTTAACCCTTTAAAATACATGGATTGTTTCTTTATGTTACTAACATTGCCTAAGTTCACCAGCAGCCTGCAGAGTTTTGATCAGTTTTATAAACACTGAGGAAATAGCTAATATCATATAAAAGACATATCAACTGAAATACAATCCATGCAATACAGTTTTGCATAAGATCAACAGAATTCTGTTTATCTAGCCCTGAACTGGATATTCTTTCTGCAAAATCTTATCGATTAATTTAATGGCAGAAACATGTTATTCCATATTTAGCATCAGTGCAGTCCAGGTTTTAATAGTGGCTTGGACGCTGAAGTCAGATGGAAGCCCCAGAGGAAGGAGCCCTGTCATCGGTTAAAGATGCGTCCACCAGCACCTGCACAGGGCCGGAGCCCACAGGATGCCTGAAGGGAGCAGTTGCCATCCTGCACTCAAGTAGTTAAAGCTGATGAAATAATTCAAATACATGTGCAAAATACTAAACATATATATACTCAACAGAATTTAATCTATCTTTGATGATAGAAAAGTGAGTGAAAGTGAAGTCGCTCAGTCATGTCTGACTCTTTGCAACCCTATGGACTGTAGCCCCCACACTCCTCCATCCATGGGATTTTCCAGGCAAGAGTATTGGAGTGGGTTGCCATTTCCTTCTGCAGAGGATCCTCCCAACCCAAGGATCGAACCTGGGTCTCCTGCATGGTAGGCAGACGCTTTACCGCCTGAGCCACAGGGAAGTCATATTGATGATAGAAAAGAAATGTAAAAATGCTGTAAGACAACAGGCTCATCATTGTGGAAATCCACTGTTGGGCTTGATCCAGGGAGAAGCCAGTTCTGACTCCACGTTGGAGCTATTTCGTTGACTTGCTTTCAATTGCTTTTGTTATTACAATCATACCTAGCGGCCTGTCTCAGAGGACTCTGCCCTCTGCCCGACTGTGAGTGCCTTTGCTTAGCTCACAGGGAGATAATCCGACCCTGCCCACTGTGCTGTGCTTGTGTGCTGAGTCACTCAGTTGTATCTCTTTTGTGACCCCACGGACTTACCAGGCTCCTCTGTCCACAGGATTCTCCAGGCAGGAATACTGGAGTGGGCTGCTATGCCTTCTTCCAGGGGATCTTCGTGACTCAGGGACTAAACCTGAGTTTCTTATGTCTCCTGCATCGGCAGGCGGGTTCTTTACTACTCAGGCCACCTGAGTAACAGGCTAACTAAAAATTTTTATTTGCTTGAGTTCTGGGTAATCAAACATTTACTGTATATCAAATGGCTGTGTGTTTAAATAAAAGTACCTTTAATTGAGAACGCATATACAGAGGGAAACATCACCCTTATTTTAGACAAGAACCTCATGCTCTTTGATGAGACCTCAGTAACATGAGGCAAGACTTTCACAAGACAAGAGCGATTCTCACAGTCGAGCTGAATCCCTGGATATCACTCTAAGCCTTAATGAGCATGACTTTATCTGCCGGGAACAGCAGGAGAATAGCTTTCTTGCTCCCTGCATTTGCAGCAGTTTGAATTCCAGATGTTGGGGGCCGCTCAGCAAGATTTTGGCAGCTCCACACACTTCAACAGATAGTTTTGCTTTCACTGCCTGGGGGGAAAAAAAAATGAGTTGGCAAATTTGTAATGCCATCTTTCCCAAAGCAATAAGAAAGAAAAAATGACCTACATATTTACTAAGCTGTTGGTTACAATTTCCATCATCTTTGCTGTTTTCGGGACCATGCATCACTGGGGAGAGGAAGCAGGAGAGGGCTGAATCCACAAAGCCCCAACAAAAACCTTGCCTTTGGTTTCCTGACTTCATGCCATGAGATGTAGAACCACACGGTTGTGTGGCTTCTCAGAGAGGAATCAGGGCTCAGCTGTTTACCTGGAGGACCCACATGTCTACTGTAATAAAGACACACACCCGCTTTCTCAGAGCACTAGTTCAGTTTTCTTTTCAGAAATTCATCCCCATACAGACAGGGCCTTAGTACATCCATAAAACCCGACCCCCTCACTCTCTCTTGCTTCCTGGCTCACTGTTTGGGAATAAAATTATGGATAGAAAATCTTCTTTTCTTTCTAATGCAGCTTTATGCAGCATTAACAAGCTGCTGGGGAAAAATGATCAAACGTTGTTGTAGCTAAAATCCCTGGATGTGAAAGAGTAAACAGTAAACCCTCTTGGTGGGGTGATGGGGGAGAAAACACACAAACTCGCAAGACAAGCCAGCTGATGATAGACTTGGTTCTGACACTGATGTAAAGAACAAAAATACGTCACAGGTTTACATTCGGGCTCTGGGACCAAGAGACCCTGGGAAACAGCCCAGCTCTGTCACGTCAGCTGCGTGAGCGAATGCGCAGTTTCTTCCTCCATGAATTAGGAATGTGCTATGTCTACTTCAAAGTATCTTCACAGGGATTAAAGATCACGCCCGGGGAGTGCTCCCACAGTGCCTGGCCTGGAGTCAGCATTGAGTAAATGTTACCCACTATTTCCAGAAATTAAGTGGCTTCTTGCAAGGCTTCATGGTGTGTGTGTGTCTGTGTGTACGTTTGCATGTCAATATATACAAATGTCAATATTCTTTTCCAAATGTGTCTTGAAGATGTCTAGGGACCTTGCTGAACTTCTTGATAACCAGCAAGGTTTAGGGTACGGTGCATGGAGATGCAAGACTCCCAAAAGGAAGGGGTAATTCTGATTGAGAGAATTTGGGACAAATCCACAGTGAAGGTGATGCGACAACTGCCCATTATTAGTAATAATATATAGAACAGTCATGCATTAATAATAATACATAGAACAGTCATGAGGGTTTCCTGCTGTGGCAGACACCGAGCTTGGTGCTTCACAGGAATTATCTTGTTTGGTCTTCCGAGAACGCACCCGTTAACCTCGATGGAAGGGTGAGGAGAGGGAGCACCGTCACTCCAAGTGGTGGAGCCAGTGCTTGCGCAGAGGCCCTGGCCCAGGCTGGACCACAGAGGCTCAGGTACGCCTCCCTGGGCTTCCCCGGTGGCTCAGCTGGAAAAGAATCCGCCTGCAACGCGGGAGACCCGGGTCCAGTCCCTGGGTTGGGGAGATCCCCTGGAGGAGGGAGTGGTTACCTACTCCAGTGTTCTGGCCTGGAGAATTCCACAGTCCAGGGAGGTGCGGAGTCGGACACAGCCGAGTGACTTTCACTTAAGGCGGCCTGACCTGGATGGGGTAAGACCGGGTTTCATTGTTTCAAATGCACATTCTCATTCACACTCTATGTCTCAGAAGCTGGGATGCATCTTAGACACGCCAGCACGCCTCAGACTGCTCGGCAGCACGCTTGTCTTTCCTGCTGGCACAGATCATGGTACCTCACAGACATCAAAGGCACTTCAGATTTGGTGAAATGGAAAGGTGTTTCGATAGGAAGCTAGGGAGGTGGGACCCCCAGACAGAGGGACTGGTAAATATGCAGGTACAGAGGCGGCTCCCCTGGTGCCTGGTGGTGACGAGTCTGCCTGCCAGAGCAGGTCCAGTCGAACACAGGTCCAGTCCCTGGTCCGGGGCGGCCCCACATGCTCCAGTCCCTGGTCCGGGGCGGCCCCACGTGCTGCGGGGCCGCTGCGTGCCACAACTACTGGTGTCCGCACACCAGAGCCTGTGCCCGTAACAACGAGGAGTCGCGAGCTCACCCAGAGAGGCGCCCCTGCCTGCTGCCCCAGAGAAGGCCTGCAAGCAGCAGCGGAGGCCCGGCGCAGCCGAGAGTGGTAATTAAAAACGAAGATGTCCAGAGGCATGACTCGACACGCCATACTCAAGGAACAAGGAGCTGATTTAGGGAATTAGGGAATCAGCTTGAAATACAAGAGTCTTGCAATGCTCAAGACCATACTGCCCAAGGGAAAACTGCCTTACCTTCTGCCCTTTTTCTTTTTTGGCCTAACTTTCAAATACCGTTTACAAGTGAAAACCCTGTTAAAGTGAACTGGGATTAGAACCTAAAATTCATCTACATAGGAACACAATGTATTTTTGTAGAATTCTAATATTCAGTGACTTTCCCAAATATAAAACTACTGTGACAATCAAGACAAGCCTTAACTCTGTTTTGTTGGAAATTTACTAAATTTTCCTCTTTTGCAAAATCCTATCTACCCCTGATAATCATTCAGATCATGGTACCTGAATTACTGTCCACCCATCTGAGTCAGCCTGTACTGGAAGCTGCCAAGTCCATGCTGCTTCCACCTGTGACAAATGTCAAGAGATTTCATTGTGACCTCTAGGGTCATCAAGTTCAAGCATTTATATTGTTATTTTCATCAAGATTTACTTTACTTTTATTTCTCTCTCATTATAGTTACAGCATTGTATTTACCTTGCATGTCCAGTTATGTAACTGACAAATTTCACTTCATGCTACGTAAGAGGATTTTACAAACATTTACTGTGAGAAGGTGGGAAGGAGTATGGGTCTGCATGGTTGAGATCAAGGTCTGGACATCTCACAAAGATTCAGATCTGAGAGGCGATGAGAAGGAATCAAAGAAATTTTGACAGATTTTGTAAATCTTGAAAAAAACAATTTAGGAATAAAAATAGAATCACAATAGGTTAATCATCCAGAAATACATACTGCTAAAATCTTTGTCCCTCTTTTCCTACCTGCATATATTTTCTTTAAAAAAAAAAATACAGCCAGGATTCTATGGTTTGGGGAATTATTTTCCTGCATAGTGACTCACGTCATTACTTACTCTTTAAAAACCCCTATTTTAGTGACTGCATAACATCTCATCAAAAATAATTCCATCTATTAACATTTATTTTTGGATGCATTCAGAAGAGCTGGTTAATCTCCCAATACATTTTGTAAATTGTATATAAAAAGGGCTTTAGGATTTGCCAGATTTATCTCCATATAAAACAGATGAGAAAATGGAGCAGAGAGAACAAGGCACAGAGTGACCTGCTGCACAACAAGAACGAGAATTCTGGTCCCCTTATTCTCAGATGAATGCGTTCTTTGTATTATTCTGAAGCTGTCTTTCCGCGTGCCCCCTGTTTAATGATCTGACCCTTGGCTGGCAGCGCCACTCTGTATTTAATCACTTGATGTAACTATTGACTTGGCTTTCCACCCAAACAAAAGCTGGACCTTCTCAGGGTGTGCAGCTCAAAGGCAAGGCTTGCCGCTCTGGGAGCAGAACATATAAACAAGTAACCCTCACCCTCTGCACCCAACCGGCCACAGCAGGAATGCCTCATGGTAGAGACTGAAGTATTATATGATTCCAAGAAAGCTTTATTACCAGACACATGGGGGATGGATGGATTTAATGCCAGATCATTTTGAGCTATAATAAAGATGATAACAGCTTGACTTCAGACATGATATGTAAACATATGGCTCTGCAAATTACCATCGGCTTACGTGTTCAATGTAATGAATCCCATCACGCACGTGTATTATGCAGATTCAAAGCCAACAGTAGGGTATGTACTTACAGTCTACTCGACAGAAGCAAAAGAAGACCTGGTCTGAAAATGGTCGAAGGGGGCTCTTGGTAAGGGATAAATACACAGCCCTAGTCAAATGTTTGGAATTGATTTGCAGGGGGAAAGAGGCAGGAAGTAAGGCCAAAGAGAAGGGCAATCAGTATTATCCCAGGCAGAAGTGAGAATGATGTTCCTGGGGCTTTCCTGGTGGTCCAGTGGTTAAGAATCCACCTTCCAATGCAGGGGGCCTGGGTTTGATCCCTCGTCGGGAAACTAGATCCCACGTGCCACAACTAAGAGTTTGCATGCCACAGTTAAAAACCCCTCACGCCACAGTGAAGAGTTAGAGCGCCAAAGAATTGATGCTTCTGAATTGATGTTTCTGGTGTTGGAGAAGACTCTTGAGAGTCCCTTGGACTGCAAAGAGATCCAACCAGCCCATCCTAAAGGAAATCAGTCCTGAGTGTTCATTGGAAGGACTGATGCTGAAGCTGAAACTCCAGTACTTTGACCACCTGATGTGAAGAGCTGACTCATTGGAAAAGACTCTGATGCTGGGAAAGATTGAGGGCAGGAGGAGAAGGGGGCAACAGAGGATGAGATGGTTGGATGGCATCACCGACTCAACAGATGTGAGTTTGAGTAAACTCCAAGAGTTGGTGATGGACAGGGAAGCCGCTGGCGTGCTGCAGTCCATGGGGTTGAGAAGAGTAGGACACGACTGAGCGACTGAACTGAACTGAACTGAACTGAAGCTACAACAAAGATTGAAGAGCCCATGTGCAACTAAGACCTGGTGCAGTGAAATAAATAAATAGTTAAATACTTTTTAAAAGATATAAATCAACTCTTATATAAAGTCATAGAAAGTCTTGATGAAAAAGATAGTCACATCTCAACAGAAAAGCTGAGTTTAGTTTTCAGTTCATATTTTGTTCTGTAAGAAGTTAAATGCATTATGTACAATCTGAGGAGCTGAATCCAATCACTGTATCTCCCCAGACACATCATTCGCCTTGGTGATCTTGTATGTGCTCATTCAAAGTCTCTTTGAAATGCAACTTGAAGGATAAGTGACTTTTCTTTGACTGTTTCATTAAGTGCCTTCCCACTCTAGGAATTCAAAAGCGAATCCAAAGATGCAGGTCTGTGAGACACTTTACTTAATTATTGATGGGTGCAGTTGAGGCCAGGATCTAACAAATCAGCTCAGCTCTGCTGAGGAAGGAAATAGCTCACTGAAAAGCAAAACAGAGCCTCCTCCTCAAATCTTCCGTGGCTTGGCCTTCGGCATCCCTGGGGTGATCTAAACTGTAGTGAAAAACATTGTATTTAGAGATGCTCATGGTTAGGGCACTTCCCCTACGGCTCAGCGGGTAAAGAATCCGCCTGCCAAGGCAGGAGACATGGGAGAGGAGGGTTCGATTCCTGAGTCGGGAAGATTCCCTAGAGGAGAAGATGGCAACCCACTCCAGTACTCTTGCCTGAAAAGTCCTGTGGACAGAGGAGCCTATCAGGCTACAGTCCATGGGGCTGGGAGGAGTCAGACACGACGGCGCACGGGCAGGAGATTGTCAGGATAGGGTTAGGGCGGCGCTGCTATCGTCGAGAGGCTGGTGCCTGAGGAATGGGTCAGGCTGGCATCGGCCAGGGAAGAACGGTGGAGAGAAAGATGATGACAGTTTTCAGTTTAGGAAGAAGAGGTTTAATAATCACATAATCACAGGAATGAGAGCTTGGCATCCAAGTAAGAGAAACGTCATGTTGAAAAGAAGCAGTCTGTGAAAATGGAATCTGATCCAGGACAGCAGCAGAGGGTACAGTGGTGTCAGGAAAGATTTCCTCAAGGAAGCGATGCCTGAGCGGAGATGCTCGAGCGAGGCTGACGGGTCAGCAGGGGAAGAGCGCTCTGACACGTGTGGTCCAGTGTGTGCCTGGTGCATAGCTGATACCTGAGCGTGTGCGCCTCTTAGTCCCCCACCCCTCTCTCGCCCCTCCTCACTTCCCTCTCCCCACTGGTAACCACCAATCTGTTCTCTGTATCCATGAGTCTGCCTCTTTTTGTAATATTTACTAGTTTCTTGCATTTTTTAGATTCCTCATATATCATACAGCAGGTCTTTCTCCATCTGACATATTTCACCAAGCACAAAGCTCTCCAAGTCCATCCACGCTGTTGCGAATGGCAACATTTTTTTTATGGCCGAGTAAGTAGTATTCCATGTGCTGGCAGGCTATAGTCCCCGGGGCCGCAAAGAGTCGAACATGTCTGAGCGACTAAGGACAGCACAGCACAAGTAGTGCTCCAGTCTGTGTGTGTGTGTCTGTGTGTGCATGTGTGTGTGAGTATAAGTGTGTGCGTGTCTGTGTGTGCGTGTGTGTGTGCGCGTGTGTCTGTGTGTGTGTCTGTGTGTCTCTGTGTGTTCCGTGTGTGTCTGTGTATGTATGTGTGTGTGCGTGTGTGCATGTGTGTGTGTGAGTCTGTGTGTCTGTGTGTGTACCCAGGTGCTGCTCACTCGTGTCCAACTCTTTGTGACCACATGGACTGTAGCCTTTCCCAGGCAAGAACACTGGAGTGGGTTGCCATTTCCCCCTCCAGGGGATCTTCCCCACCCAGGAATCGAACCCTCATCTCGTGTACCTCCTGCACGGGCAGGCAGATTCTTTACCACTGAGCTGCCTGGCAGCTGGTAGAGAATATATAGATATATACACACGCCACGTCTTCTTTATCCCATCATCAGCTGATGGACACTGAGGTTGTTTCCGTATCTTGGAAATCGTAAATAATGCTTCTATGAACACAAGGGTGCAAGCAACGTTTTGAATTTGTGTTTTTGGATTTTGACTATGCCAAAGCCTTTGACTGTGTGGATCACAATATACTGTGGAAAATACTTCAAGAGATGGGAATACCAGACCACCTGACCTGCCTCTTGAGAAATCTGTATGCAGGTCAGGAAGCAACAGTTAGAACTGGACATGGAACAACAGACTGGTTCCAAATAGGAAAAGGACTACCTCAAGGCTGTATATTGCCACCCTGCTTATTTAACTTGTATGCAGAGTACATCATGCGAAATGCTGGGCTGGAGGAAGCACAAGCTGGAATCAAGATTGCCAGGAGAAATATCAATAACCTCAGATATGCAGATGACACCACCCTTATGGCAGAAAGTGAAAAACTAAAAAGCCTCTTGATAAAAATGAAAGAGGAGAGTGAAAAAGTTGGCTTAAAGCTCAACATTCAGAAAACTAATATCATGGCATCCAGTCCCATCACTTCATGGCAAATAGATGGGGAAACAGTGGAAACAGTGGCTGACTTTATTTT